ATCAGGTGATTATCTCATAGATGGAGAGAAAGCATCTAATCAAATTCAAAATTCACTTATGATTTTTGAAAAGTCTTGGTAAAGGAAACATTTATAACTTGATGATAGGTATCTACCAAAAATTTATAGCAAATTGGTAAGTGTCAAATGTACTTTTAAATTAAGAATGAAACAAGGATACCCACTATCCCTGCTTCCTTTTAAAAGTGTGGAAGATGTGCTCACAAGGGCAGAAGGCAAGAAATAAAAAGTACAAAGGAACTAAAAAGCTAAAGGGGAAAGGAAAAGGGTTTGGGAATTTCTGGTAATGAAAAAGAATGAGTCTCAACAGGTAAGAGAAAGCTTAGACCCAAATAACAGATTAAGAATGAATTTTACTTACAAAGGCAAGAAAATCATAATGGCTCAAATTTTGGTTCTACTATTAATTAACAATGTTATATTAGGCAAAATGCCTAATTTCTCTGAGACTAATAGTATTGATACCTCACATGGTTGCAGAATCTGTAATACAATAACTGCACACTGAATTGTCAGAGATATCGTAAAGCCTATATTATGGAACCAACCTAATCAGAGAGTTTGTCAAGAAGCAGTAGTGTAAAGATAACTAGGTCAGAAGTCAAGTGATACTGGTTCTAATTCTAGATCTGCAATTAACCAATTAATCTTAATTAGTTAACATACCACTAATTTCCTTTGCAGTGCATTACGAATGGTAATACATTCTTCAGAGACAAGTTAGTGGCAAAGGAATAAATCCCTTTTATGTCAAATAGCCAGACTAAAGATTTAATCCTCTCAAAGTCAATTTTAAACATTTGTACTGAGTTTCCTAAGACTATCATTAAAAATTAATGACTTGAATGTTTGAGACCACTGGTTATGGATTAGAAATTATTAAATAAACCTGCAAAATCTTTTACCTGATTACTATCAAACAGTCTTTAACTAACAGAAGTTTGGTGTTTCAATTGAACAACTTAGTCAGAGAGCCCTTGAGTTCCTTTAATAAGACTCATCTACTTGTGAAAAGGCTTCCTAATATAAGGCAACTCAAGATGACTGTAACTACCTGAAACATTAGTGAGAAAGTTTTTTTCAGTTCTCTTCCAAGCTGTCACATTAATCAGCTTGTCGTTCGTAGCTTACCTTTAACATCTCTAAAAGTTTGCTAATCTTATCTTTTTACAACAAAAAGAAGCAATGCCTCAGTCTCAGGATTTTCTGGCAAACGACACTGTTGCGTTTTAACATTTTCACAATTATCTTTTATTTGTGCCAAGTAATACCGATTTCCTACTTATTCTCCAATATACTTAAGTAAAAAATGAATCTATTATAAAATATTGAAGACATTATTGTAATGGTGATATGCAGATATGGCAAAGATCATCCCTCTTCTAGTAATCTCTGGAAAGAATTTCTGATGAATAATGAATAAATAATCTTGGAACTTGAGTCACAAAGACATAAATTCTAAATTCTTCAGGAGAGTTCTGAATGGTTCAAAGTAAGAATTACTTCTGATAAAAGGTCAAATCAGATCACACATAAGATAATGTCTGTAGATTAAGTCATGAATCCCCCAGTTAAGATGATACGATGTTGAAATATATTTTAGTCCAACTGTTCATTTTATATATCAGGAGTTGACAACCTATAGCCTGTGAGTCAAATCCAGCCCACTGTTAGTTTTTCTAGGGCCCACAGCTAAATGACTAAAAAAAAAATCAAGAATAGTTATTTCATGTCATTTAAAAATTAATATGAAACTCAAATTAAAGAGCCTACAGAAAGTTTTACTGGAATACAGCCACACTCATTCATTTATCTATCGTCTATGGCTGCTTTCCCACTAGGATAGCAAAGTTGAGTAAATATGACAGAGTCCCTATGGCCCACAAAGACTAAGATATTAACCATCTAGTCTGTAACAGAAAAGGTTTGCCAACCCGTTATAGATAAAGCAACTAAGTATCAATGAATTGGGACCATAAAAACCAGTTCTTATGATTTCCACTTTGGGGCTTTTCTCCTATATTCCTGTTGTCTCACTTGTCTCTCCTCTGTGTTCTGAATTTCGTTCCTACCCACTTTGCTTCTCTGTGTCCAGCCCAGCAGCATTTAAACAAACAGGCTCACACCTGATCAAGCAAAAAGTGAAACAGACAAAACATGCTGGGATCAGATCTGCCTGCATCTAGATCACCGCCTACTTCCTCCTCAATCTACTTTGATCTCCACCTCCATTAGTCTACCTGAACAGCAATCTTCAGTCACCAATGATTTCCAAGTCAGTCTCACATACTACATTTCTGGCTCATAACTTACTTGGTCTCTCTACCTTTGATACTCTTGACCAATCTCTTCTTGAAATGATACACTGACTTGAAATAATGCCCTGAGTTCTGTGACTTCATAATCCTGATTTTACATCTACTTCTCAGATGGTGTTTTCTTAGTCTCTTAGCAACTCATCTGTCTTTATTATTGTTAATTAATTTTACTCATATAAGCTAAATTTCAAAATGTTCTCAATTTTTTTTCTTTTTAGTATTTTGTCAAACTAATGTTTGTAAATAATAAAAATAGAACTTTGGTGGTTTTAATTTGCATTTCCTTCATTATTAGCAAGACTGA